CAACAACAAACCACAAAATCAGTGACTGAAACCCACCAGCTGCTCCTCCGAAACCCTATATAGAGTCACTATGAGTTGGAACCGACTCCACGGCACCTAACAACAACAACAACAACAAACCACAAAATCAGTGACTGAAACCCACCAGCTGCTCCTCCGAAACCCTATATAGAGTCACTATGAGTTGGAACCGACTCCACGGCACCTAACAACAACAACAACAACAAACCACAAAATCAGTGACTGAAACCCACCAGCTGCTCCTCCGAAACCCTATATAGAGTCACTATGAGTTGGAACCGACTCCACGGCACCTAACAACAACAACAACAACAAACCACAAAATCAGTGACTGAAACCCACCAGCTGCTCCTCCGAAACCCTATATAGAGTCACTATGAGTTGGAACCGACTCCACGGCACCTAACAACAACAACAACAACAAACCACAAAATCAGTGACTGAAACCCACCAGCTGCTCCTCCGAAACCCTATATAGAGTCACTATGAGTTGGAACCGACTCCACGGCACCTAACAACAACAACAACAACAAACCACAAAATCAGTGACTGAAACCCACCAGCTGCTCCTCCGAAACCCTATATAGAGTCACTATGAGTTGGAACCGACTCCACGGCACCTAACAACAACAACAACAACAAACCACAAAATCAGTGACTGAAACCCACCAGCTGCTCCTCCGAAACCCTATATAGAGTCACTATGAGTTGGAACCGACTCCACGGCACCTAACAACAACAACAACAACAAACCACAAAATCAGTGACTGAAACCCACCAGCTGCTCCTCCGAAACCCTATATAGAGTCACTATGAGTTGGAACCGACTCCACGGCACCTAACAACAACAACAACAACAAACCACAAAATCAGTGACTGAAACCCACCAGCTGCTCCTCCGAAACCCTATATAGAGTCACTATGAGTTGGAACCGACTCCACGGCACCTAACAACAACAACAACAACAAACCACAAAATCAGTGACTGAAACCCACCAGCTGCTCCTCCGAAACCCTATATAGAGTCACTATGAGTTGGAACCGACTCCACGGCACCTAACAACAACAACAACAACAAACCACAAAATCAGTGACTGAAACCCACCAGCTGCTCCTCCGAAACCCTATATAGAGTCACTATGAGTTGGAACCGACTCCACGGCACCTAACAACAACAACAACAACAAACCACAAAATCAGTGACTGAAACCCACCAGCTGCTCCTCCGAAACCCTATATAGAGTCACTATGAGTTGGAACCGACTCCACGGCACCTAACAACAACAACAACAACAAACCACAAAATCAGTGACTGAAACCCACCAGCTGCTCCTCCGAAACCCTATATAGAGTCACTATGAGTTGGAACCGACTCCACGGCACCTAACAACAACAACAACAACAAACCACAAAATCAGTGACTGAAACCCACCAGCTGCTCCTCCGAAACCCTATATAGAGTCACTATGAGTTGGAACCGACTCCACGGCACCTAACAACAACAACAACAACAAACCACAAAATCAGTGACTGAAACCCACCAGCTGCTCCTCCGAAACCCTATATAGAGTCACTATGAGTTGGAACCGACTCCACGGCACCTAACAACAACAACAACAACAAACCACAAAATCAGTGACTGAAACCCACCAGCTGCTCCTCCGAAACCCTATATAGAGTCACTATGAGTTGGAACCGACTCCACGGCACCTAACAACAACAACAACAACAAACCACAAAATCAGTGACTGAAACCCACCAGCTGCTCCTCCGAAACCCTATATAGAGTCACTATGAGTTGGAACCGACTCCACGGCACCTAACAACAACAACAACAACAAACCACAAAATCAGTGACTGAAACCCACCAGCTGCTCCTCCGAAACCCTATATAGAGTCACTATGAGTTGGAACCGACTCCACGGCACCTAACAACAACAACAACAACAAACCACAAAATCAGTGACTGAAACCCACCAGCTGCTCCTCCGAAACCCTATATAGAGTCACTATGAGTTGGAACCGACTCCACGGCACCTAACAACAACAACAACAACAAACCACAAAATCAGTGACTGAAACCCACCAGCTGCTCCTCCGAAACCCTATATAGAGTCACTATGAGTTGGAACCGACTCCACGGCACCTAACAACAACAACAACAACAAACCACAAAATCAGTGACTGAAACCCACCAGCTGCTCCTCCGAAACCCTATATAGAGTCACTATGAGTTGGAACCGACTCCACGGCACCTAACAACAACAACAACAACAAACCACAAAATCAGTGACTGAAACCCACCAGCTGCTCCTCCGAAACCCTATATAGAGTCACTATGAGTTGGAACCGACTCCACGGCACCTAACAACAACAACAACAACAAACCACAAAATCAGTGACTGAAACCCACCAGCTGCTCCTCCGAAACCCTATATAGAGTCACTATGAGTTGGAACCGACTCAACGGCACTTAACAACAACAACCACTTATAGCTAGTAGTTGAGAGTTTAATTATTTGTACCACCCTACTGCTCTAAACAGGTTGTTGTTATGTGCCATTGAGTCAGTACCGACCCATAGCAACCCAATACTGGGTTTATGAGTAGTGGCTGGTGAGCTTGAACCTCTGACCTTTCAGATCAAACTGACTTTGCAGTAGTTTATTATATATTTACTAAATAAGAGAGGTAACTGAAAGAATATACTGATGATCACCTGGACAGGTAAGATCTACTGATGAAAGATAAGCTATCAGCCATACTTCTTCCCAGATGTTTTCCAAAGTCAGAGTGACCTAAATATAATTCAGGATGTAGAGTAATACTGAGGGCCTGAGGGGAAAGGAAGAAGAAAAGGAGATGCCTAAAAATGAGCCAAGGCCCTCATAGAGAGCAGGAGGAAGGGGATATGGCCAACAGGTGGCAGGAACACCCCAGGGCTAACACAATGCCCGCTCTTTGTAATGGTGGCTGCCAAATCCCTAGAAGTTTTGCATGTTGTTTGTGTCTTTTGACTTATACTTAAATAATTAAAAAAATAAATTCCTATCCCTAGAGGAAGGAACCCAAGAAAGGTTCTGCTTTACAAAAGCTTTAAGGGGGCTAGCACTACCGCTCTACTCCCCTCTTTCTTGCCGCCAACACTTTGTGGGTGCTTTTACAGTAATAGGTGAACACAAGAAGATTCTTCCTTTTGTTTCACTATGGCTTGGTGAAAGTTGGTGGGGCAGGGAGGAGAATTTCTTTGTAGGCACATTCTCTTTGTCCCCAACACTAAGACTGGAAAGGGTTTTCAATGACTTATGCTATTGAGTCAGTTTTGAGACTGACTATGTCCCTGTATAGGGTTTCCAAGGAGTGGCTCATGAGTTTGAATTGCCAAACTTGTGGCTAGCAGTCCACTGTTTATCTTACAGTACCACACTAGGACTTATATTCCACCTAAAGCCTGTAGTGTTTTTTCTCTCGTTCGCTTTTCTAAATTGGCTAGTTTAATGTGAGGCATCAAAACACATCTTTGATATTTGAGCAACCTGTTTTTTTTCTCTTACTCCAAACTTGCGCCCTATTCCTATCCCCTGGGGCTGGAGAATCAGCAGTAGACACAAAACATTGTCACCATTATTGGAGTCACAGTCCTTTGTCAGTGGAGGAGGTCTGGGCTCAGGGTGGCTGCTGGAGACTGGGATCAGCAGAGAGGAGGACATGCTGGCTCCAACATTCATCAAGAGTTGTATTCCCATGTAAGTTATTCAAGAACTAAGCATGTGTACTCAGGAGAATATCACAACTTTAATTTTTCAAATTCATCCAATATTATTAGAAGATAAGAAGTTATTTATATTTTAATAGCAGCCAGTTTTCAAAAAAGAAAATAAATCCATACACAGGGATTATGAAGTGGCATAGTTTTTCCCCCAAGAGAAATTTAATGTGGAATATGACGAAAGCATGGATCCAATGGTCATTAGTGATCTAATTTGCTGCTTAACATTTTAAAATTTGGGAAAAACCTGATGTAATTTCCTTTGTTTCTTTAAATATTATCTCTTTTCTTGCTATTGTCTAAGGTAGTCAAATACTATATCAGAGTAGTTAATGCTCCGATGTTGTTGTTAATTGCTGTTGAGTGGATTCTAACTCAAGGTGATGCCAGGTGTGTCAGAGTACAAATGTACTCCACAGAGTTTTCAAGATTTTGACAAGTCGATAGTCAGACCTGTCTTCTTAGTAATTTCTGGGTGGGTTTGAACCACTAATTCTTTAGCTATTAGTCAAGCATTTAATAATTTGTATCACTCAGGGACTCCTCATACTCTGATACAAAAGGCTAATTTTATAGGTTCGGAAAGAAACATACATGATTTCAAGAGTAAACATTGTAAACATTTTCCTATACTTGTAAAAGAAACACAAATTTAAGGAGGATTCAGTGTTCGATATTTTGTGAGGTTATTGGAAACCAAATTGATACCAGTCCATGTACAGTAGCATAGTGCTTACAAACCCGGCTGCTAATCTCACAATCTGCTGTTTGAAACTACCAGCTGTTCCGTGGGAGAAAGATGAGGCTTTCTGCTCCCATAAAGATTTAAAGCCTTGGAAATCCTGTACAAGGTCGCTATGGGTTGGAACTGACTCCATGGCACATAAGAACAACAACATTTACAGTAACAAGGCTAGAAAAAAAGAAGAAAAATATCCATTCAGATTTAAATCAAGACAAGCACTGGATTATATACCCATTCAGAAGTTCATGCATTTTAACAATTTAGTTATTAAGCTAAGGCCACAGAATGACTTAAAATTATTCTCTGTGCATTTGTGTATCACATTACACTTTTATTGTTGTGTAAACATATTTTTAAGCCAATACTTATAAAAACAACCTAGTTTTAGTAAACATAGCAACAAATGTAAAAGACTGAATTTGGTGGTAAGGTGGAGTAATTCGTTTAAACAAACGGCATACTTACAATTGCATTTCTTCTGAACAAACCTAAGCTTACATGCTGTTCTGTAGGTGGAGAGTCGGATCCGATCCAGATCTTGAGCCCCTGGTGGAGGAAAGAAAAAAAGTATACATATGGTGTGCCATGTGTGTGGGAAGCAATTTATATTATTTATAAATAAAACAAACTGCAGATATAATCCACATACTTTGCTTGAATTTCATTTTTGTTACAATATGAATATAATCTTAAAATGGGAAGAGGATTGCCCAATAGTCTCCATGTTCTTGAGGAAAAGAGCATATGTACTTGGCATTGGAAACTGGTTTTCAACCCTATTCATGAAGCAATCTCATGCCTGCTGGTCTGCCATTTTTGAGAACAATTGGTTCAAGCTTCAACTCAGAGCTAGACACTTAGATGCTACCAGACATTGATAGCATCAGTGATCATTCTGGATGCACTGTGATTAGTCATGAGAACATGGCTACAATGGGAGCACACACTGAACACTGATGGTATCTTCTCTGTGTGACTTTGGCAAATAGCTGGCAGAAGCCTCAGTTTCCTCATCTGGAAGATGAGGACAATGATAATAACATTCTTCATAATAATGTTGTGAGGACACGTGAGGAAATATGCCTACAGCCTGCAAAAAAGGCTGGACATATGGTCAGTATATTGGAGCATTCACTATTCTCACTAGCATCTATCCTACAGCCCTCCCTGCCAAGACCTAAAACCAACTTTTACTGTGTCCTCTGGTTCCTTCTGACTACAAAGGGAGCATGCTTCCCCATGTTCCTGAACTACTTCCTTTATACCATGTTTTCACTCAGGAATCCAGCAGGCTTCCCCAGGCCCAGAGCAGCAGGCCTGGATATTCAGCTCAGAACACACACCCCTCTGCAATCTATTGCTATCTTGCTTACGCAACAATTCATATTTTTCACTACTTTCTATCACAGAATCTCTGCTAGACCTGGGCTGGTCTCCTCATGATCCTGGCAGGGATCCTAGCTCCTAGTGATCCCTCCTTTGAATGGGCTAAACTCTAGACTGTGTCTAAAAAACAGTAGACTTTCAACAAATGTTTATTCTTTCCACTTCAAAACATCTGGCTTTCTTCAAGCTCCCTCCTCAATTTCCAGTCCTGAGTGCTGAGCTATAAACCATACTCATCTCTTCCATATTTCAAGCCATGTTGATGGTTCATAATAGATATAAAGGTCCATGTTGGTGTGTGACATGGATTGAATTTTTTCTTTACTAGTAATGCACCAGCAATATGTGCTAAATAAATACTTCAGAATATAATAGTTAGGACAGAAAATAAGTGAACTGGCCTGGAAGTAATTATATTAGAAGGTCAATTAATTGCTTTCCCAAGGAAACTCAGAATGAATTACATGTGTTCTGCACTGAGAGAACTTCACATTCTCTCAAATCAAACTGATCACGTTAGATTCATTTTAAGATATTGCCAGTAAGCCTATTACTTTGTGGTTTTATAAAACAGATGATGAAACTTTCTTTCTTGTGAATATATGTGACCTCACAAATAGACTCATTTATATAGTCATCTGAAGGACCAAAGAGGCAACTGCACTTGATGCAGGACATTAAAAATACTCTCAAAGGAAGGACATTTAACCAATGGCCATGTAAGAATTATTTCCAATGGTTGTTGTTGTTGTTAAGTGCTGTCAAGTCGATTCCTACCCATAGCGACCCTGTATAGGGTTTCCGAGGAGCAGCTGGTGAGCTTGAGCCTCTGACTTTGCAGTTCAAATGACTTTGCAGTCTGGCGTATTAACCCACAGTGCCATACCAGGACTCCATTTCCAACGGCAGGGAAGAAAATAATTTAGTGGAACTAAATGAACTTTGGAGGCAGTAAACCTTGATTTTGTCACTTCCTAGTTTGTGAACTTGGAAAACTATTTATGTGGTGTCTTAGTTTCCTCATGTTTGCAATGGGGATAACAGTACCTACCTAGCAGTTCAGTTTGTAAGTCATCCAATCAATCCTGACTTAAGGTGACTCCAAGTGCATCAGAGTAGAAATGTGATCCATAAAGTGTTCAATGGCTCATTTTTGATTCTTTTTTTTTTTAATGTTTTATTGTGAATTATGTGATAGAACATTAGTTTTACATTCATCCTATCGTATATCGTTTCATTGCCATGGTTACAATCCCCTCCATGCATCATCAACCAACCAAAGGGTATATCCTACAAGTCAATGGCTCATTTTTCAAGACTTGCTTATGAGGTGCTTGTGGGTGGACTCAAATCACCAACCTTTGCATTAGCAGCCCACAGTGTTTACTGTTATGCCACTCAACTGCACGTAGTATGCAGAGTCAATGAAATATGTAAAGTTAATGATAAGTAACTCTCCTGAAAGGAGCCCTGGTAGTGCAGTGGTAAAGCACTTAGCTGCTAACCCAAAGGTTCCGTGGTTTGAACCCACCAGCTACTCCATAAGAGAAAGAAATGGTAGTCTGCTTCCACAGAATTCGTAGCCTTAGAAACTCTCTGGGGGCAATTCTACTCTGTCTCCCTGGGTCACGATGAGTCAGAATGGACTCAGTGGCAGTGGATTGGGTTTTTAGTTTGACTCGCCTTCCAAGGTTTCCTGTATTGTTTCTGAGCAAAAATACCAAACAAACAAATAAACAAACAAAAACATACCATCATCCCACCGATAAGTGACATCAGTTTCTTTTTTATATTTCAGATTTAATTTGCTGTAACTTCAACACATTTGACATAATCTTTTCTCCCTGACACCTGATAATTTGTTACTTAAACATCTGAATATGATGTCCTGTCACCGTGGAGTTTAAAGTTTGGTTGGGATGGTAGCTTTCCCCTGACTTTCTGAAGCAAAACATATTTGATTCTACATTCACAGATCCTGACACATAGTGGGGCTTCTGAACCTAGAAGTAATTATTATTCACATTCTTATCAGGCCTGGGATTTGAGGTGTCTTAAATAGTCACCCTCTTTCATCTTTAAAGTGAGATGTACAAAACTTATTCTAAATGCCATAGTTATTGCCTCATTTGTATAAATTACATAATTCCAAGACCCACACACTGAGTCAATCCAACTCATAGAGACCCTGTAGCACAGAGTACAACTGTTCATTAGGGTTTCTGAGGCGGTGAATCTTTACTGTAAATTTGTTTACAGTCACATCTTTTTCCCACGGAGTGGCTGGTGGGTTTGAACTGCCAACCTTGCAGTTAACAGTTCAATACTTAACCTACTATGCCACCAGGGCTTTGAAATTAGTTTAAATAATAGGCTTATAGCGTCACTGCCTGTGTCTTCTCTTAAGCTTTTCTATTTTATGATGATTAACAACAGCATAACATTCTTAAAACAGCACAGCAAAAAACAAGTCAATACACACATGCAAGTACCTACATAATTTCCACTGTTTCTGTTACACTACGCTACCTTACAATTACTGAAAATTTCCCTTGGGCCCAACCTCAGAGCATTTTGCCTCAAAGGTGGCTACTGATTTTTTAAAGAGTTTTTGGCAATTGCAAGCCAGCAACACGTGTTTCAAAGTTTCTCCAAAACAGGTGTGAGAGTGCTGCGTCTCCCCCTTGAGAAATTCTTGCAATATAGAAAGCAATTATTACTTTGATAAAAATGCTTATTAGTACAATCTTATTTTTAAAAGCTAGCTAATTACGCTGCCACTTATTGAACTTTGTTGTTGTTATTTACTGCTGTTGAGTTGGTTATGACTCATAACAACCCTGTATAGGGTTTCCGAGGAGCAACTGGTGAATTTGAACCATTGACCTTGCAGTTCAAACAAGCTTTGAAATCCAGCACATTAACCCACAGCGCCTTGCCAGAACTCTTCACTGAGCATAAGCCCCACCTCCCCAAAAAGCAAATCCCCCCCAAACAAATCCACTGTTATCGGGTGGATTCTGACCCATAATAACCTACAAGACAAAGCAGAACTGCTCCACAGTGATTCAGACACTGAATCTTCAGGGAGCCCAACTACCTAACCTTTCTTCTGTGGAGTGGCTGGTGGGTTCAAACTACTGATGTTTCAGTTAGCAGGCCAATGCTTAACCCAGTTTGCCACCAGGACTTCCTTCAACGAGCTTACAGTTAATTAAAAAGCTAGAAATGTGTTTTTAATGCTTTAGTCAAGGGCCAGCTGGTCAGTACTGACTCATAGTGACCAAGGTTTCCAAAGCTGCAAATCTTTGTGGGAGCAGAAGACCTCACCTTTCTCTTGAGGAACAGCTGGTGGGCTTGAATTGTTGAATTTGCAGTTAGCAGGCCAGTGTCTATTCTACAGACCCCAGCAGCTCCCTGTGTTTATATTAAATTGAATTTTTCATATTTTTTATTTAAATATCAGTTCGGGGGTTTAAGTGTAGGATTTCATATTTATCTGTTTTATGTGGCGCTGCAGGATAATGCACTGGCCCACAAGGTCATTTGAACCACAAGGTTGGCTGTTCAAATCCATGAGCCGCTCCTCAGAAAACCTATACAGGCTCACTATGAATCTCAACAGGCTCGATGGCACTTCATAAAAACAACGACATTTTCCTTTTAAGTTTTAGCTCATTGTTTCTGCCTTTCTGATACCTTTTGAAAGTATGATTTTGTCACTGGCATTTATAGCGTCTGGACATCTGAGAGGCTCATGTGGGAAAATGAAGATTCAGGTGCTGTATTGTTGTGTGCCGACTAGTCAATTCCAACCCATAGCAACCCTGTATAGGGTTTCCGAGAAGCACCTGGTGAGCTTGAACTGCTGACCTTGCAGTTCAAATGGCTTTGCATTCTGGCACATTAACCCACAGTGCCACACCAGGACTCCATAAGCAGAGGTTGTTGTTGTTGTTGTTAGGTGCCATCGAGTCAGTACCGACTCATAGAGGCCTTATGCACAGCAGGACGAAACACTGCCTGATCCTGGGCCAACTTCACTATTGTTGCCATGCTTGAGCCCATTGATGCTGCCACTTGGCCAATCCATCTTGCTGGGGTCTTCCTCTTTTTCTCTGACCCTCTTACTCTACCGAACATCATATCCTTCTCTAGTG